AGATACGAACGCACGCACCACGCACACGAACACACACACACACACACACACTATGGCTATGGCTATGGCTATGGCTATGGCTATGACTATGGCTATGGCTATGGCTATGGCTATGGCTTTGACTATGGCTGTGGCTACCAGGCTATACCTATGGCTGTGACTATGGCTATGGCTATGGCTAACTAACACGGGCTTTTTTTTTACACGAAACGCGCGAAACAATGTCAGGTGATCGGTGAGCGATGCAGGTGTTGATTAACACATGGCTTCTTCTTCTGCTCAGGTGGGACAGGTGCAGCGCTCGTGCCGCATCCCGGCAGCCCTCGCGCGCGACTACGCCGACCTCGACGTCATCGTCATCGAGGAGGTGTTCGATTTCGGCTGCTGGACGGAGAGAGGCGTCTCCCTGCGCGACCTCTTCCTCTTCTACGGCTTCCCGCACATGACGAGCATCGTTGGCGAACGGTCGAGCGGCGACGGCAATGACGACGACGGCGACGGCAACGTCGACGACGGCAATGACGTTGGCAATGAAGACGACAATGACGACAACAACAACGACGGCAATGACGACGACGGCAATGACGTTGGCAATGAATACGACAATGACGACAACAACAACAACGACGGCAATTACGACGGCAACGTCGACAACGGCAACGTCGTCAACGGCAACGTCGACAACGGCAATGACGTCGGCAATGACGACAACAACGTCGACAACGGCAATGACGTCGGCAATGACGACAACAACGTCGACAACGGCAATGACGTCGGCAATGAAGACGACAACATCGACGACAAGCGGTTGGCCGACAACGGTTATGACGATGACAGCAACGATGACGATGGTGACGGCGTGGAACGCGCGGTGAGATTCATGCACGGCGGAGTGATGATAGCGTCACGCTACCCCATCGTCGACGAGGTTCAGTACGAGTACGTCGCCTTGGAGCCGAGCGGGAATCAACGCAAGGGCGTCATGTACGCTCGTGTTCTCAAGTCGGTCGGCTCGGAATGCAAGACGTATCACGTGTTCGGCACGCATGCGCAGCACGGGAACAGCCGAGAGCAGATCGACGTGCGTCGGCGCGAGATGACCGAGTTTCGCGCCTTCATCGACAGCAGGATGATTCCTGCCGACGAGCCGACGATCCTGGCGGGAGACTTCAACATGGACTCTCTGCAGCGTCCCGCCGACGTCCTCGAGCTGCTCGCGATACTCGACGTCGCAGCGCCACCTGTCGTCGGCGAGCCGACGCCTACGTGGGATCCGGAGAATCCATTCATCTCACCAGTGTACGGGCTGCAGTTTCTAGACTACGTACTGTACGACCGGCGCGGGGAGTGGCCGCAGCATGCCGACATGCGCGTTGTGAAGCCTAGGTCGCTGCTTCCATTCCGTGTGTGCGTCGCCACGTCACTGACGACGTTTGTCTGGCCCGACTCGCCGCAGTGCGACGCCACCATCGCCATCACCGACCTGAGCGACCACTACGCCGTCATCGGCAGACTCGCGTACGGCCGCGGCGTGGCAGGTGACGCCATCTAGTGAGCGTTTGTCGATCTTGCGCGCGTAACGTGCTTTCGCTGCTCGTATACCTGTTGTATTCGTGCGTGCGTGCGTGCGTGTGCACGTATGTTTGAGCGTACGTGCGTGTGTGCGCATGTATGTGTGTTTTAACGCGTGCGTGCATGCCCGAGCATGCGTGGCGGTGGTGAGCGAGTGTAGTGAGAGAGATAAAAGTGATAAAATAATGATGAAGGATAAAAGTGATGATGCGTAACGAAACTAATTAATAAACAATCAACTAATAATTAATATCTCTTGCAGCCCTGCTTTGATTCAGTTGTGTTGCACTTCAGCGGCAAGGCACTTTCACAGACAAATATTAAATCTTATCCTGATCACAGAGCAGATCTGTGGCAATTTATTCGCTATAACATTACCTCGCGACTGGCAACGGATCCGTCATTCCTCGTTCGCCGTCCATCGAGGCCATCGAAAAAGAACTGGCAGCAAACTTTAACCGACAACGTAGTGTACGTCGTGTGAATTCACCCCCCCCCCTACGAAAAAGCACCCCCCCTTCTCGCCCGCCGTCTCTCGGCATCTTTTCATCGAGGTCTCCTCCTCCCACCTCCGAACCCCGGGCCGAGGGGAATTTCGCGCCACTTTCACTGGGTCATCGGTTATCGTCAACGCGCATTGTCGTCGTGCGAACACCTGCCAGCAGGTTGGGCGGAGGCCTTCTAACGGCGCACAGGCCGTTGTCACCGCTGCGTGGCTAGGCCCCTGGCGCTGGTGCTGGCACACCGTCAGAAGCAGGCCATATCGCAGCGGGTCACTACCGCGGCACGTGCGCGCTATCAGCAAGGTACGCATCATAATGTGCGCCGCGCAACACAGATGGCGCCAGTGTACGTGCGCTCTGCATCGCAGCAACAAACTAAAGGGGCGTCTCGACGATGCAAGCCGGATGATGCATAACGCATGACGCGCAACACCTACATTTCTGAAATAAATCTCTTCATACTTTGGTTAGTTGGGTTGTATCGGTTCTAATTTTGTGACATTGTTCTGTAGATTTTTGCGTATAATCGTAGATAGGTCCTCCAGGACAATTGTAGTAAGCGTCGTGCGTCACTGTATTGCGTAAATGTTGATGCTGATTAAGAGCCACGTGTAAAACCAATGGATTGTTGGAGATAAGCAACGATATTAATGAGGACGGCGGCGACGACGACGACGACGACGATGACAAAAATAGTGACGAAGATGGCAACAATGACGGTGGAAGCAATTACGAAACCAGTGCCACAGCGAACAACAACAACAACAGCAGCAGCAGCAGCAGCAGCAGCAGCAGCAGCAGCAGCAGCAGTAACAGCAGCAGCAGCAACAGCAGCAGCAGCAGCAACAACAACACCACCAACAACAACTACTACCAAATCTGCTCAAGCTGCTGCTGCTGTAATATTCGTTAGGTGCGGATCAACGTAGTATAATAAACGTAACACTGGAGTAAATGAACGTGCCCTTTATTGCGGGTCTCGGCCATATACGCTAAAGCCCGCGCTTTTATAAACGCCATAATGTATGAGTACATAATAATCAGGATAATAGAGGGCAACACCTGACGGTGTCTCGTATTGAACATATATAATAGTGATTATACAAACCATTACAGCTGCTACTACTACTACTGCCGCCGCCACTGCTACTGCTGCTGCTGTTGCTGCTACTGCTACTATATTATCTTACTCCTGCTAATACTAATACTACCTGATACTACTATTGCTGCGACTGCTGCTGCTGCCTCTACTACTGCTACTTCTACGTCGGCGATAATCACAACGAACGACAGCGACGTCAACAAAAACCTCTCCGCAACTTAAGGTGACGTAATGTGATGTTTGGCTGCAAGAGGAAATGGGAAGTTGAGCACTCATCGTTGATCCTAATGTCTCTTGATCGTCTCCTTACTTGTGCCTTTATTCATCAGCGCGCCCTCACTTAGATAAGCATCACATTACAGACGTGCCGGGAATTCCTACCGGAACATTTTCGCGCTCGATCCGTCGTTTAGAATATCCGTAGAGCATGCGAGTTACACCAACGAGAGAGTGAGAGAGAGGGAGAGAAAGAGAGAGATAGAGAGAGAGAGAGAGAGAGTGAGAGAAAGAGAGAGAGAGAGAGAGTAGAGAAAGAGAGAAAAAGATAGATGAAGTAAAGAGGAAGAGAAAGAGAGAGAGAGGAGAGGATGGAGAGTGTGTGTGTGGTGTGTGTGTGTGGTGTGTGTGTGTGTGTGGTGTGTGTGTGTGTGTGTGTATGTGTGTCTGTGTGTGTAACAAGGTGTGTGTGTTACTCCCACCTACCCAGGTCCACGGTTCGGCTTACAGGAAGTAAAGTTCCCTTCTAGGGTAGCTGACTGGATGCGTCGAAACACAACAAGAACACCGGATTGTCTACTACACTGCACGTGCTTATATTGAAATGAGAAACGCTAACAAGACAGCTACCATGCGTACACTAGGTTTACCGGGCAGCGCCGCGTATCACGAACAATATATATATATATATATGTAACTAGACAGCCGACTCGTATGTCGCCTCTCCGCGCGCGTGTCGCGTACAACGTAAGGGGTTACCTTAAAATGCAGATCGATACCCGGAATCAATCGGCGGTGTGCGGCTTCGGAGATAGAACGGGGAAAGGAACAGATATACCAGATGCCGGGGAAAACGCAGGTCGCGGAGAAAAGGTGACCAACGTGGCAGAAAGAGGAGACCCGAGTGTGTCGCTAGCTCTGTCGCGCGTCCCATCCACGACGGCGGCCATGCATAAAATCCTAGGACCGGTATAGATTCATTAAGGGACGCTCTACCTGCGCAAATTGCTGTTTTTATAATCGCCGAACATCGAGGAATTTGTAAATCGCAAGGTTGTTTCTAAATCGGCATATTTTTGAAGTGGCGAAGCATCTATACTACATGTGTGTGTGTGTGTGTGTGTGTGTGTGTGTGTGTGTGTGTGTGTGTGTGTGTGTGTGTGTGTGTGTGTGTGTGTGTGTGTGTTGTGTGTGTGTGTGTAATGTGTGTGTATAAACTATCTATTAAAATATGATTAATATATTTGAGAGAGAGCGAGAGCGGCGCAAGCAAGGGGGGGGGGGGAAGAGCGAAGAGATAGAGAGAGAGAGAGGGGGAGAGGGGAGGGCGAGATAGATAGCACTAGAGAGAGAGAGAGGGAGATGAGAAAAAAAGAGAGAGAGAGGAGAGTGTGCGTGGTGTGGTGTGTGTGTGTGTGTGTGTGTGTGTGTGTGTGTGTGTGTGTGTAAGAGACAGAGAGAGGATGGAGAGATAGAGAGACTGGTAGAGTCTATGACGAACGGCTGTTGGCCGCAAGAATGAATGCAATGATAACAATAATAGGCGAATTATCGTCTGCGTTGTTTGTTTGGGAAACTTACAAGAGTTGGGGCGTAGCGAAGTAGGGGTTCAATGTAAAGGCGGTGAGCGGTGATATGCGTTGGGAATGTTCGCTGAGTCAGACTTAGATAGCTTGTTGTTTCAACAGCATAAAAAACTAATGGCATTCAAGTGCTCGTGTTTTTTCTCGAAATAACATCTTCCGTTCTGTGTCGTTCTATCGTATTCCCGACCGGGTTTTTCGGCGTTGCTCGGCTTTTTACAGCTCCATTTTATAATCTCCCCCGCACCTCTCTTCACGTCATCGCTCTCTCGCGCTCTCTCTCTCTCTCGCTCTCTCTCTCTCTCT